TTTTTTATTTTTTTTTTTTTTTTTTTCAGGAGGGGGAAGACACGCTCTTTTCTTATTGCAGATTTTTTTTTTTTTTTGACGAGGAGAAGCTTCCCTTTGTTGCAAAGAGAGATTTTGCAGGAGGGGAAGCCGCGTGCATTTGCTCCGACCCTCCTTTGAGGTTCAGTTCTGCTGTCCCACCCAGGCACACCGGGACAGGATTCATTTGCAATTTTGGGATTCATTTGCAATTTTTGATTGCGTTTGCAATACGTGATGCAATCCCAGTACGTGATGCGTTTGCGGTGTGGGGACCTGGGCCCACGGAATGCTGGTGGGCATCCTTTGCAGAAACAGCGCAAAAAGCCAAGCTGCTGGCAAAACCTTGGCGTTATTTAAGAAAAATAAATCTCCTTGGTGGTGTAAACGGAAAAAAAAAAAAAAAGGAATATATGACTTACTGAATCATCTGCGAAGCATCTCGGCGGGGAGACCTCCCATCCTGCTAATGCTCCGGCTGGATTTGGGAGATCAAAGGTTGGATGGAGAAAAATACGCCTGGGAAGGAGGGAAAGAGGCACCGTGGCCTCGAAAAAAAAAAAAAAAAAAGCTGGTGCAACGCCGGGGTTTTAAAAGGGCTTTTGCTGCGGAGGAATAATTTGGCGGTGACGATTCCCCTCGCTGCCGGGATGGGTTTCAGCGTGCAGCCCGAGCACCCAGGCCAAATTCCCCTCCCATGTACCTGCTTGCCCCTATAAATGGCAGGTTTTCCCTTAAAATTTGGGGGGGGGGACGACACACACACACACACACACACTGTTCTGCAGATTTTTACCCTAATTCTGGTAAAAATGAAAAATTAAGCATTGCTTCCAGGAGCTGGCAGGGGAAGGGGGGGACACACTTGGTTTATTTAGGGGTTTTCCAAGATACCGATAGCAACATGATGTAATTAAAATGCTGCCAGGACTGGAACGCAGCTGCTTGGCCCTAAATTTTTTTTTTTTCCCCTCAAAATGCCCCCCTGGGTTATACAGGGTGGATGGGAAAAATTTGAGGCGAACTCGGCAGGTTGCATCAGGCTGTGGGTTAAACTGGTTTTTCTTGGGATAAGGAAAAACTGGTCTTACCTGTTAATTCCTGAGGGTGTCTGGGATGGGGAGAGACTCACCTCGGATAACCTTGGCCTTGCTTGGCCTTCCCCAGTCCTGGATCTGGCCGTGGGGCTTGCATCCCCAGCCGATGATATATTTGGGGGATCCCTGGGGATGGGGATATTTGGGATACACCAGTAGCAATTGGAAAAACGGGGTTTGCTGTAAGACCCTGTGCAAAAATCACCCTGTCCCTGAGAGAGGGCGGCTCTGGGTGCAGTGTGGGAATGGGTGCTGGGGGTATTTGCATGCCCTACCTGCAGCGAGGGTGCAAGCAACTCCCTTTTCATGCTCTTTAGCAGCCCAGTTGCACCGCCAGAGTTTTTAAGCGAGTTTATCCTCCAATACGTTGAATTTTCCCAAGCATTTAGTGCAAGTGAGGGGGGAATTTAAGGTCTGGCTTACCTCCGACCGGCGGGGTATTGCGGGCAGATGGAGTCTTGGGAGGGTTTTGCTGCCAAGAGCGCTGTTTTACTGGGAATTGCATGGCTGGGAGACGTGGAAGAAGCAAAGGATGAGTTTAAAAAGAGCTTGCATATTTGCAGTGGGCAGCTTTGTGCACCTCTGAGGGGTTTTTGGTCAGGATACCAGTGAGCAAAACCAGCCCAGCTGCTCACTGTCGTCCTTGCATCATGCACTGCATCTTTGTCTGGGGTTTCTAGCAACGCCAAGATGCCACAGACAGAAGCTTTAGGCGCCTCCCCGCAAGGTCTTTTCCGAAAAAAAAAAAAAAGACCCCAAACCTGTGGAGAAGTTGGGACAGCTCTTAGAGAAGGTGTCCCAAAGCCTTGCCCAGGAGGATGCCAGCAGAGGGCATCCCCGGACCGGGTCCATCACCCCAGTTACATAGATCTCTATAAATACATAGATATTTTTGCACAGAATGGTTGTATTTAGATAAACACCCTCCATGCACATCACTTCTACTCCGTATCACATCACATAAATAAGTATACAGATATTTAAATGCCAATTATTTAAAGTTTTTTTTAAAAAGTCTCCATTCACGCCCATAAAAACAGGTTTATTGAGTTCGTGCTGCTTTACATATTGTAAAGCTTTATGGGGAGGGCATAAATCTACACAGGGAGGGGTTTTAAATTTTTGTCAGGGCAGGATTTGGCTTGGGGTTTGCATTTTAAACTGCAGTGTCGGTGGCTTTTGTAGGGGGTGGTGCAGGATGAGACCAGTTGGGTTCAATCAGCATCGCCAGGAGAAGGAGGCAGCTGCTTATTTAAGGGCTGAGCAGGGGGACAAGCTGTTTGCTTGCCCAAATATCCTGTGAGTCTTTCCCTGGAGGGGTGAAGGTCTGGATCCCTGATGCAAAAACCAATATCTCAGTCAGGCAGGATTAAATCACTGTGACTACGGGTGGGTGACCCCCATCCTGCATCCCTGATTGTTTGTGGGTGAATAAAACCACATTGCTGGAGTTGATGGATTTTTTTTTTTTTTTTTGGTAAACGGAGGTTGCTCTGCATGTAAGCAGGGGGTGCATGAGGTTGTTTCCAAGCAAGGAGCTGGAAAAGCATCCTTTACCCTTGCAGGTGTTTGCAATCCTGCTGCGAAAATGCAGCCCTGAACCTTGCAAGGAGGGTTTGGTTGCTGCAGCCAGGAGCCCCCTTGACTTTCAGAGGAGAGGGTCTATGGGGTGATACTTTAATTTTTTTTTAAACTTATTTCTTTTTGAGGGTTGTTTCCACTCCCAGGACCCCAGGGTGGCCCAACCCTGCTGACGCCGGCACCCAGCCCCAGCTGAGTCAGTGCCGCTGCCCCGCACCGGTGCCAACACGCCGGCCACGAGCGAGCAAATCTCTCGTTGCTCCCTATTTTTACTGAGCACATGGTGAGTTTTTTGGGGCCAGGGGCACCCTATGGGTGCCAGGGAGGTTAATATGCAGGGTACATTGGTGCACCCTTGCAAGGGCGGGGTTGCAAATCGCTGTTGGGTGCCCGGTGCGTGTCGTTCGGCATGTGAACAAACTCAGCCCCTTTGCCAACGCAACCGTGCTGGCAAACTGTGTGATCGCCACCCAGCACTGACTCACCGGGAGGGTTAGTTGGTCCCTATGCATCCACGCGGATGGATGGCAGGGCTATACAGAGCCGGCCCCGGGTCCCCAGGCCCCGGTTGAGGGTGCACCAGGACCTTTCT